CGCCTCTTCTACTGCACAGTGCTCGTCTGCTCCAAAGAGATCGCAGCTCTCACCGATTTCTCCGGTAAAACGCCAGCCCTCGCCCTGCGCCCCCGGAGAGCCCGAGGGAGGGGGCAGCCCCCGAGGGGCCCGGCGGGCGGGTTGGTTTGAAATTGAAGCAAGCGCCTAGCCGGTTTTCCTGCGGGGTTGGGGGGGGAGCCCTTGGCATAGGGGTGGTTGCGTGTGGGGTGGTGGCAGGGGAGTCCTCCTCAGGAGGAAGGGTGTGTAATGCATTCAGAGTTGCTCTCCCTGTGTTGACCTCGTCACTTTGCCCGCATCAGCCCCTCAGCCCCGATGTACGCAAGTTCCCCGGAGGCTCCGATGCCTCGCCTGGCACTGAAAGATACACGTGCCTTAGTCGCAGGAGTTGAGTTTAGTTTGCCTCCCACGTTGTAAGGGTGCGTCCCAGTCAGGCTCCTGGCTGCTCCTGTAAGGAGACAGCCCGGGTCACACGGGAAGTCCGAGAGGCAGACAGGGCAGGCGGGTGGAGAGGTGGTGAGAGACAGAACAGGGAAGATACTCAGGGCCTGGCTGTACAGCCCAAAGATGCCAGGATCCCCTCCCTGTTTGTGATCTCAATTACACACACACACACACACACACACACACACACCCCGACTGCGTAGCTCCAATCCAATTTCCTTCAAAAGATCTTTGAGAGTTTGAAGGCAGCACGCGTGGCCTGACAAAGTGAAAGAAGTTTGTGGTAGGTGATGGCTGTAGGAACACATGCTCTTAGTAGTAGCACTTGGTTAAGGCGACAAATGTCCTTGCCACAGGGAGGACCCTGGGTGTCCACCTGACAAAGCTGGAGGCTGCCTACCCTTCCTCAGCCCAGCCCGGGAAGCAGCTCTGAGTCCTGTGCTCCTCCTCTGGGAATCTTCTGCCAAGCCCAGGCTTTACTGGACCCTAGAGCAGGACCTGTTGCAGTAGAGCTGAGGTGGATGCATTTATGCAACAGACTAGTACGTGGCCAAGAACGCTGGCAATGCGGACTCTGAGTTGGGTTTCTGATTTACTTACAGAGAATGTCATTGTTATCTGAGAGCCCTTAGGTCAGAGGTTCTTTGCTTTGAATATTTTATGTCAAGGCAGTGTTCCTGCCTGGCAAAGGAAGCCAAGATATGCCTATTTGGCAAGCAAACCGTGGCCCTTAAAATCAAGCCCCAGAGGATCAAAACTAGGTGGTAAATGTGCTGGGGAAATGCATCTGGTCTTTCAAGTGCTATTAACCCCCCGCTTTTCTTTCTGTAATAGTACTTTTTTGGCTGCTAGAAAAGCTCTGTATGTGCTGATTTAAGCTATAATGAGCAGTCCTGAGTTCTACCTCTGTCTCCTTCTGTATATGTGAAGCAAGAATGAAAAGTTGACACTGGTGACATCATTATAACTGAACAAATATTGTTTGGGCCAATTTTGATGTAACTGTTAGATTGTTTTCACAGATTATAGGCACTTAGAGCCTGTCTGTAGGGAAGCAATTGCAATACTTACAACAGTCTCATAAGTTACCGCCCAAGTCTAGAAATGCCTGTCTCTATGTGGCAACTGTGGAACAGTGGATTTGAGGCCTAAAACAGGGAGCTGGCACCCTGAGGGAAATGGATGCTTTGCCACAGTTCTTTTAAATAATAAAGCTGATAAAAGCCTTTTCCTTCTGCTTTCCTTGTGAACCCCATTTCCAGGGTTTCAAGCTCCAGGAGCCATCAGCAGGGGGTGGTGTTGTCAGGTCTGTCCACAGCCAGGCTGCATTTTCCCTCTGCTCAGAGTAGCTCTCATCTTTTTGGGGACATGAAAAACAAAACAAAACAAAACAAAACACATAGTCACACTCAAGTTCAAACCCAGATTCTGTATAATGTGGGGTCGGGGACATATTAGAAAAGTCTCAAGAAGGCAGAAAGGTGAAGAAGACCTCCAAGTTTGGCTAATTTGTCCGAACACTTCAAGAGCCTGTAGGGACCCCCAGCCTGTAGAGAGAAATTCCTAAGCTCCATATCTGTCAGTCTCAGCATCCAGCCGGATGTGTTGTTTGAAGCAGTGGGTCCTGATCATGTAATTCTCTAAGGCCTCAAAGCTTGCTGCCTGCTTTCCTGGGGACAGGCAGTCCTGTTCCTTTTTATGAACTTGGCGGGAGTGTATAGAAATGGAACAGAGGCCTACACTGAGACAGCGGGCCCTCCCCTGCAGAGCCTTACAACAACAGCTGAGGGCCAAAGAGCATGTCTGACAATAAAGACGCTTGCTTGTTTGCTAAATAAGGGAAACAGCAAAAACCAGTGGAGGATGGAGGGGACGTGGAGCCCCTTCGCCCTGGGAAGGAGAAGGGAAGATGTATCCATGTAAAAGAAAGTGTCAGAATGTCAGGAGTGCCACACAGTCTGTACAGTCTAGGGCAGCCCGGGAGATCAGCTGAGTCCTTTGGGAAAGTTACTAAGCTTTCCGTTTTTCTCAACTCTGCCTTGAGCCTTGATCTGAGCCTGTCAGCTGGTATTGTTTTCTTGGGTCTTTGATTTTTTTGCCCTGGGGATTCCAGTGTCACATCTCTTAATAAGCCACAGGCTGCCTCACAGCCCCCTCCACGCTTATGACTTGTGCTAATCACCTCCAAGCTTTCTGGGACACAGGCTCCCCAACTACCCCTCTCTCTGTCTTCCTTGAAGATTTAGAGATGCTGCCAGCAGCCACTGGAAGGCTATCATCACCGCATTAAAAACAGATCCCAGGGAAGGCAAGAGCACCGCATGCAAAATTAGTGCCTCTGATCCTTAAGCCCATCCTCAAATGTGCGTGGCTTCTATCCATTTTCCTCTTTGGGATACAATTTTCTGTTCTTTTGACTGCCCTCCCAAATTGAAGATTTGGCTTGAACTGTCCTAACTGATCACTGATTTTTTTTTTTTTTAAGAAAGCAAGTGGAAATCCAGGGGCATCCCTGTTATCCTCTTTGTTCATAAACTGATCCAGGGAGCTGGAGTGTGGCGGGTGAGAGCTGAGGGGAGGGTAGGTTACCCTTTGGGGTCCCTGCCATAAGAAAGCAAGGTCTGCTGGGGATTTAGCTCAGTGGTTCCCCTGTGTGCCTCACAAGCGCAAGGTACCAAGTTCAATCCCTGGTACCAAGAGCGGGGGGAGGCTAGGTCTTCTCTTCCTTCCCTATTTCTTTCCTTTCCTATTTTCTTTTTTTCCCAGAGAAGTTCAAGTAGGGCTGAGGATGGAGGGAGGGAAGCAGGGGTCACAGTTGTTCTGATTCTCACTTGCATTCCTTGAGCGCTCTCTCAACTTCGAACAAAGTATTCCTGACCACGTGGTTATGCTCTTGGTTTCATCCTGGCTTTAGCACAGGGTGGAGAATGTGAGAAGCAGGAGGGAGAAGGGTTGGGGACAAGGAAAATGGAGGCCCTTGTAAGACCTTCTTTGTCCCCAGACCTCAAAGAAAGGTCATTGTATGATGGACGTGGTCCCTCGGGCTGGTGTCCTGTTCTGTCATCGGTAGCTCAAACAAGCAAGAAGTGGTACCTGGTACCGGACTGTACTCATTTTCTCAGGCAGCCATAACGGGGCACCACAGACTGGGTGGATCGAACAACAGGAATTTATTTTCTCTTGGTTGTGGACACTAGAAGCCCAAGATCAAGGTTTTGGCAGGGTTATTTCTTTTTCTTTTAATCTTATTGAGTTTATTGGTACTTTTAAAGTATACAGTACACTTACATTCATCATTGGGATCTTGTACCTTTACATGACAGGTCTTGGTTCTCATTTTTTCCCCTTGTCCCTGCCCTCCCTTCACCCCCTCCACCCTCCCCTGTTTCCATTTTCCCCTTTTCTCATATTTTTTCTTGTCCCTTATTTCCTTTCCCCTACCCTTCCCACTTCCCCTACACCTTTAGCCCTTTTCTTCCTATTTCACATTATCAGTTATACAATTTGGATCTTATTTACACTTTTAGCTTTTCACACCAGAGAAACTATGCGGTATTTACACATGTGTCTTATTTATTTCACTTAAGAGTATGGGCTCAATATGCATCCGTTTTCCTATGAATGACTCTAGTTTCTTTTCTCATTCCTTATGGCTGAGTAGTATTCTGTTTTATAGGAAAACTACATCTTCTTTATCCAGCCTCCAACTGATGAGCAATTGGGCTGTTCCCAAGTTTTAGCTTGCATGGATGCACACATATCACTGTGATATGATTCCTTTTGTTTGTTTGTTTTGTTTTTGTTTTTTTTGAGGCAGGGTCTCACTATGTAGCCCAGGCTGGTCTCAAACTCACAGCAATCCTCCTGCGTCAGCCTCCAGAGTTCTGGGATTACAGGCGTGTGCCACCATGCCCGGCTTGTGGTATGATTCTTTTAATTCTTTTGGAAAGATACCCAGCAGAGGGACAGCTGGGTCAAATGGGACCTCCAATCCTAGTTCTTTGAGGTATCTCCATACTGATTTCCACAGTGGTCGCACCAGTTGGCAGGGTTATTTCTGAGGCCTCACTCCTTGGCTTGTGCTGGTGTCTTCTCACTGTGTCTTTGCATGGTCCTCCATGTGAGGGTGTGTCCGTGTCTTAATCTTCTCTTCCTAGAAGAGCACAGGCATATTGGAGTGGGGCGCATACAAATGACCTCATTTTAATTTAATCACCTATTTAAAGACCTCTAAAGATGGTCACATTCTAAGGATCTGGAGTGTAGGACTTCAACATATGGATTTTGGAGGGACACAATTCAGCCTACAACATACATCCTTTACATTCCGAAGAATAAACTTGACTGCTAGCTCCTTATTTCACTAGCTGGGATTTCAGGGTATAGAAAGATGGTGATTCAAGGATCTTGGGAGTTCCGGGTTGGGGCTAACTCTTGATTGCAGGGTTCCAACTGTCCATTTTCTGTTTTGCTCTCAAATAGTGTGTGAGCTGAAAGCACATAGTGACTTGGAGAGTCTAAAAACTGTGGGTGTTCAGTTATACCCCAGGGTTACTGATCTAATTGACCCAGGAAGAGTCAGACACCAATCTCTTTTCTGAAGTTCACCAGGCAATTCTGATGTGCAGCTAGAGCGGGGGACCCTACCTTGGTGTCCAGAGGGAGGGCTGTCTTCCTGTGCATCAGTTCATCCAGGGACACACAAGCATGGCTGCCTGGGGGTGCCCTGCACCCCCTCACCCATGGCTCAGCACCCGGGAGAACGGGACTGTGTTTTCCCAGCTTGTCACGATCTCCCAGCACATATACATGTGAGTGCATGTATACGCGTGCACACACACACACGCATACACACACACACACACACACACACACATCTCTGCATTTTATTATGCCTCAGCCACATCATTCTTTTATTCAGGGGTTATCTTCCCTGTAAAAAATTTTATGGAATGAAAAAGCAGCTCGTAACTAAAGAAAAGCAAGCCAGATGTCTGAAAGAGGTTTCCAGCTGTCACGGAGGGAAGGGAGAGGAAGAGCAAGCGCCTGAAACCGCTAGTCTGTTTCCATGGAAAGTGACCACATCTGAGAAATGCCCTGCCGGCTCTTCTGGAGCAGAGAGGAGGTGTTTCTGCTCGTGAGTGGTCCCGTTATTGATGGGTTGGTCTCCCAGGTGCTCTATGGGGAAGGGCAGCCTAGCAGCAGTTTCAGGGAAGAAACAGAAAGCAAGGAGTACAAATCAACTGAGCTCAGTGTTATTTGCTTTCGTCCTCATAGCAACCCGGTGAGGCAAGTATTCAGTCTCATTTCCTGATGAGAAGCAGCTCAGAGAGGGCAGCTAACTATCCAAGACCACCCAGTGAGTCAGCAGAGCAGAGGAAGCCTCCAGCTCCAGGCTGGGGCTAGGGCAGGGGACTTGGCCTTGGAGGGCGAATGGGAGCAAGACCAGAAAAAGGCACCACAGATGGAGAGGGCTTTCTAGATAGCTCAGAGTGACCTCTGCAGTTTGTGGCCCCT